AATCCCAGGATGGGCGACAGGAGATGGATTTTCCACAACAGTCTTCTAAAACAAGGCAGAAAGTTCCACGTAAACAGTAGGCTGCTCTGAGAGGCTGCTGACCCCATCATGCTTGGCCCAGTGTCCTAAAGACTTCACTTCTGTCCACCTCTCCCAAAAGCAGGAGACCCCAAAAAGCACCAGATACACTTGTTGTAAGACAAGTCTCTCTGGCTCTCTTGCATTTCTGCATGTCTTGTCAACAAAGCACTAACCACCTTTTGTTCTGAATTATCTTTTCAAAGGTGTTTGTATAGCAAACAGCTTTAGAAGACAGGGGCAGGGAGCCGCTTGCTCTGGAGCAAACAGCAGGTTTGCATAGAGCCTTGGGAGACTGGGATAGTCTCTCTCCAGAGCAAAAGGGGTAGGTTTGCTTACCGCCCATTATAAAAGACGTGGGCTCCTGAAGATCTGGTTCCTCTCCTATAATGCAACCCACTGCATGTGCAGGCATTGCTCTGGGCCCATGGGGTCATGCCCTATGGGACTTGGAGGCAATACTCATGCTGCTTGCTGTGCCATCATGAAGTCTTTTGTCTTTGACCCAGGAGTCTCGTGTTTTCAGCTGGCATCCACGAAACTGGAGTAAGCTAACTTAACTGGCTTGCAAATAGGGTAAAATCTCAGATCTTTCCCAGTCGGTGGACTAGCTGTGCTCCCACTGGGGTCAACACCACTCCCCAATCTCTGAGCTCCGGGTCTGCCCTGTTTCCAGCAAACTCAGAAGAAGCCCCCTATTATGAAAATATACATAAACCAAAAAAAGAATTACTTAAAAAAAAAGAATGCTCTACTATGCAAAAGGACTTCTCATGTACCTCTTTAAAAAAGAATAGCATTTAGGACACCTAAAAGATGATGTGATTTGTCCCAAAGAGCAAAATTTCACGGAAGTTTTCAGGAATAAGCCTTAATGTAAAACAAGGTTCACCCCTGCTTTTCTGTTGGAGGTGGGAATGCCAAGCGGTCAGGCCTGGGAGGGGAACTTCTCAGGGACTATTGTCAAACTACTCTCTCCTTCCTAAAGACCAGCTGGCATGCTTGCTTACTGGCCCTCTCTGCCTCCTTACAATAAAATTCAATTACTTGGGTCTGTAATTGTAGGTAACTGAGTTGTGCCAATATCAATTTCCTGGGTTTGATAATGTACGGTTGTTACATAAGGTATCACCACCGGGGGAAGCTGGGCAATGGGTACACAGCTCAGTGGCTACATGATGGTGGAAAGTGATTTGACCTGGCTTTAAATTGGGAATAATGCCACCTACCCTGTACTTTGGTAGTGGAATTGGAGGGGAGGAATATAGAGTGCCTAGGAGTTTTGCAACATCTTATGAATCTATAATTATTTCAAAGTAAAGTTTAAAAAAATACTGTGACTTAAATCAAATAACCAATCTTTTTAGATTCATAATTAAATGAAGACGGTCAGGACTCTGTCAGATGAGCAAGCGTCTCATCTGGAGACAACAGGCGCTCTCCGCTTCCTCCCCTTCAGTTTCCCTTGCTCGGCAATTCCCGGCCAGGCAAAGTGCTGGCAGAGCTGTTCCTGAGGCTGGCTGCTAACCTCCCTGGGTTGCAGGAGCAAAGGCTGCTGGATTACCTCAGTGCCTTGGAGCTCTCTGAGGTTCTGCCAAAGTCACTGCTGCCAGGGCTTAGCCTGGGGGAATCAGCAGGTGCCTGCAGACAGCCTCTCCAAAGGCAGGGAGGTGGAAACAGACTCAAGCTGGTGTTAGGTAATGCAGTATACCTGTAGGTGCCCTGTCTGGAGCCCCTTACCATTGATGCTCCCACCCCGCGCTCTGTGGCTGTTGGCTACTAAGGGCTCATAGCTGCCCCTTCCCCAGGGACACGCCCTCAGCCCTCAGGAGCACCTGCCCATATTTCACACTTCTGGGAGAGGGGGCTGCTCACAGATCATATTGCTATGGGGAGTATAAAAGTTGTCCCCTAAGACGGGACAACTCTGTGGTGCCGCCCGCCCTCCAGAGCTCCTCATGGGGTCAGGCTGAGGCCAGACTTAGCTGAACCCACATCTCGGCCCAGTGTCTTCCCCTTCCCTGTGCTGCTCCCCTCACTGCCCTAGGATGTTCACTGGAGAGCAGCCCTCAAAAGTCAACTTGCCTAAGAATCCTCGTCTCAGGCTCTGCTTTTCGGAACCCGACCTAAGACAGGCAACATTCATCACTGCCCTTCTCTGAAACCCTCCCCTCCTGGGGGAGCCCCTTTGATTCAGGGCTGTGGGATGGCTTGGGAACCCTCATGCCCACTCAGCCCTTGCTTGCTTGGTTCTGCTTATATTGGGTTGTTTTTCTTCAATCTTTTTCCTTCTTGTCCAAGCTAAGGACTGAGTAAAGTATGAAAGGATTTGGTATTTCCTAGTGGGTGAGGGGAAAGCCAGGAACAGGGCCTGGGAGTCTCAGGGTAGGATTCCAGATGGCCAGCAATGTCCATTCCGAAGTCTTGGAGAACAAGTGAGCAAAAGGGAAGCTTTGGAGAGAGAGCCCCACTGAAGGAAGGGGAGAAACACAGAAAAGCAGGGGAAAAGGAAACCTCCTTTAGGATGGGACTGGAGGGGGGGCAGTCCTCTAGACAATATCACCCACTATGCACAGGTCACATCTCTATGGGGGCAAGGTCCTGTGGCTTTTCCCAGGAGTTAGGGATGGCAGGGTGGGGCGGCTCTTTCTTTATTAACACCTGCCATTTATTGAGCTTTTACTATGGGACAGGCACTGTGCAAAGCACTTTACATGAACTCTTTCAATCCCCACCACAATTCTAGAAGAGGAGACTGAAGTTCAGAGAGGTCTCAATCCTGCCTCATGAAGCAGACATGTTTTCATTCTTATTTTCCAGATGAGAAAACTGAGGCACAGAGAAGGCAATACAACTGGTAACCAACAGAGTCTGAGTTTCCGGGGTGAAGCCATACAGTCTGACTCTTGTGACTTTGGACTGTGGTAGCAGCAGGACATGAGCCTTGCACTTCACCCCACCCAACCCCACCCATCTTTCGAGGTCAGCTCCAGGTCCCCCTCATTCAGGAGGCTTTTGCTGCCTTGGGCTCAAAATGAGCTCCTTCTCCATCAAAATTGAAATTTCACAGTGGTAGAGAAGGTCACATCTTGCCTTAAGAGCTTCTCTGATTAGGGAGTAGGTCTTGTCTCTCTCACTAGCCCAAGGGTTCCTTTAGATGAAGGGAACAAATCCAGATCTCCCTGGACTCTCCAGGCCACCACATTCCCCGGCCCTGGGCACTTATTCCTGGGCCTGGCACAGGCTGAGCCCCTCATAAACACCCGCTGAGTGAATGATAGTGAGGCAGTCTCTCCCTGGAGCGCTGGCCACGAATGAGGGAAAAGCTGGTTCTTTTAGAGCAACAGGCAGCCTTCACACCCCGAGGCCAAGTCCACCCGGCACCAGGGCCGGGCACTGACATCCTTGGCTCTCGTACACTTGTGTCCACGGCATCCTAGCTGGGCTCCCGGGTCCTTGGTGGAGGACCACCTGGACTGTACTGGAGCAACATCTAAGGTCATTACAAACCTGGGTGTTGGTCGTTCCAAATTCCCTTGAGACTCAGCAGAAAACCAGGCAGGGGTGCAAAAGTCCCCCACATTAACTCCTAGGCCAGGAAGAGAGAGGCAGTCCTCTGCCTCCATGGAAGTGGTCCGGGGCCGAGATTCCCTACACCCCCACTGACTCATTCTGGTCTTATCTGAACTGGAGGATTTAGAAGTTCTTTGTAGCTAAACTGATTCTCTCCAACTTTAGCATAAGACTCGGAGGGCAGGCAGCAATGCCTTCTCTTGTCTTTCACTGTTTTTGAGGATGGGGGTGCACGAGGAGTACCTTCAGAGAAGAGCCACTCTCTGCGGGGGCTGCCCGTAGGTAGGTTTGCAAGTCAACAAGCACGTACTAACCATGCGCTGGCTGCATGCCAGGGATTAATGAGATGCAGACCTGCTTCTCGCGATGGTCCCACTGATAGCTGATGTCCGGGGAGGTCCAGGCCCAGCAGGAATGGAGGGTGAAGACCACTGTGAGGGAGGGTCCCCTGGGAACCAGCCCAACTCACTAGCCTGGAGACAGGTAGGGGATGCGGAGGCCCAGGAAGCAGCACCACCCACACGGGTCAGGGCAAAGAGCCCAGTTTGGAGCAGGAGACCAAGTTCACACCTCGGCTCTGCCACTTTTATGGGCAGTTACTTAACATCTCTGAACCTCAACATCTTTATCCCTCAAGCAGAAAGCATAAGGCATGCCTCAGTGTGGAGATTTGTATACGATCACGAATTAAAAAGCACTTTGTAAGATATAAATTCCAACACCGATTGAAGACGTCACAGTAAGAGCAGGTTATGACACACCTGAGGAGATTCCCTCTAGATTCCACAACATAATCAATTGCCTTAAACATGTTCCAAAATGGTGTGATGGTTAATGGCCTTTATGACCAGACAGACCCGGCCTCAAATCCTAACTCTGCCAAGTCACAGGCCATGTTACCTAAGCTGTCAGAGCCTCAGCTGGATAATGGTGCCAGGAGGACTCGAGCAGGTTGAGAGGGGAAGTGTGCTTGATTTAAGGTTACCTGTGATTACAATGGTAGCCAGTGGAAAGAGTTCAGCCTGCAGTTTTCCATCCTTTCATAGGAGAACTTGATCTCTCCATGCTTTTTGTAAAAAGGAAACCAAAGTCCCAGAGCCTGAGAAACTCCTCCTAAGCTACACAGCCTGGGGTGAGCAGAGGTGGCCCTGGAGTGGTGGGAGAGGCCCCTATGAAGACAATGGCCTTCAAAATCAGGGGCTTCCGATCCCCTGGGGGTTGTTAACACGCAGATTGCTAGGTCCACCTGGCCCAGAATTTCTGGTGTAGTAGTCAGCCTTTTCTTGGCCTACCGAATGTCCCTCTTCAGGGTGTCCCCCATCCCATTAGTGAGGCCATGAAAAGCTTACCTGGGAGGAAGGGGATGATTCTCTGCTTGGGGTCCTTCTGGCCACCTTCGATGGGAAACTTATCCAAAAGCTGCATCTGAGGAGCCAGACAGAGGAACAGGATTCAGAAGACTGGAACGGTCCCTTCCCCACTCCGCTCCACTGCTCCAGGGCCCCACTGTCCTCACACGGATGAGCAACGCCTCAAATCCCTCATTTCACAGACAATTAACAAACCACATGGGGCATGAGTGGGAGGATGCCAGAGCTCTCTACGCATCAAAGGGGGAGCCTGAACAATCTCAAGGAGGCCTGAGGGTGTAGAGGGAGGTGTCCAGACGTGACCCGGAGTGAGGCCAGGGTAGGGACCAGCAAGATTTCAGGCCAGGCTGCAGATGGGGTTTCCAGAGACTTCTCCGGACCCAGTTGTTTTCATACGTCATATGCTGGGTGAGCCCTTCAGTCACCCGCCATCCTAATACCCCCCCGGGGCCAGGATGGGGAAGGCCCCACCTGATGCTTCAGACAGACCACCCACCTTCTAGAACCGCTCTGCGGAAACAGACCCAGATGTTATTTTAATTGCAAAACCAAATCCAGCCCACTGCCCCCAACTGCTGGAAGACACCCTCCTCCGTCTCCTACATTCCCACCCTGAGAACCGCTGCTGTTTTTCCAGGGACAGACCCATTGGAAGAGTTTCCAGGATTCTGGAAGAACAGCTGTTTTTTCTTCTGCTATTCTGGGCTGAAATTCTGTGTAAACTGGAAAAACACACAGGAGACAGGAGGGACGGAGCCACAGCCCCTGTGCGTGTGTGTGGTTAGCCTCCCTTCCAAGGAGTGGGCGGGCAGGAGGTGGAGCAGAATGGAGAGTGGGATCTAGCCCCGCGGACCCAGCTGTGTGACCCTGGGCCGGGTTGCAAGCTTTCTCAGTTGGGCTTCAGGCGCCTCGTCAGTAATATGAGGAAGATCCGTCACATGACGTCTGCAGTCCATTCCTTCTTCTGAATATTAATTAGTACTTGTTGAGCGTCTACTGAGAGCACTAAGAAAATAGCAGTAAAGAGAAGAGACGAAGTCCCTGCCCTCAGGGAGTTTACATTCTAGTTGGGGGGAGACACACAGTAAACAAATATGTACTGTGTTGGGGGGATACATGCTATGAAGAAAAATGAAGTAGGATAAGGTGGTGGGGCAGAACAGGAAGGAACAGTTATTTTATACAGAGTGGTGTGGAAGGCCTCACAAATCAATGGCAATTCGGCAGAGACCCGCAGGAGGTGAGGAAACGAGCCACAGTGGAGGGGGAGAACGTTCCGGGCAGGGGAAGGGCCAGTGGGGTGGAGGCTGGAGTCGAGGTATAGGCACTGAGATCCAGGTGGGGCCCGGAGCATGGAGAGGATGGCTCGAGCTACAGGGAAGTGACTGGGCCACAGCGAGGAAGCAGGGACACCAGTCAGAAGCCTATTTATTGGCTTGGACCGAAGTGCTGCCTTGGAGGTGGTGCAATGTGGTCCTACGCTAGATTTGACACGTGTAGTGTATGTACGTGTGCACACGTGTGCATATTCCCATCTACCCACGCACTCACCCAGCTCTACAGCATGATTTTAGGATCCTCTCTTGCACAATCAAGATCCAACACACCCAAGCTATTTACAGCCCACACGTGAAGGGCGGGTCATTGTCAGATTCCATTCAAAACAAGACAGTGACTGCACTGTTATTAATTTTCACTTCCCTGAACACAGTCTAAGATTTAACAAAAGCTGGCTCATGAGTTTTCAAATCCCAATGTTATAAGTCCACCTCTCCAACCTTTAATAATTGCCTGCTATGTGTAAATATGGACAATGGGCCATAACACTATAAACCTGTACTTAGGATTTTTTTTTTTTTTTTTTTTTGCGGTATGCGGGCCTCTCACTGTTGTGGCCTCTCCCGTTGAGGAGCACAGGCTCCGGATGCGCAGGCTCAGCGGCCATGGCTCACGGGCCCAGCCGCTCCACGGCATGTGGGATCTTCCCGGACCGGGGCACGAACTTGTGTCCCCTGCATCGGCAGGCAGACTCTCAACCACTGAGCCACCAGGGAAGCCCAGGGTTTTTTTTAATCAATAGATTTTCAAATAAATTCTACATGGAGTAAAACTCTTATTTTCTCCTCTCCCCATTTTCCTCACCCATATTCTATTTTGTAAATTTTATTTCTATATTACATAAGTAATTCATGTTCATTGAGGGGAAAAACTAGAAATTACAGAAGCAGTAGGTGGTCAAAAGGAGAGCAAGAATCACTCATAATCCTTCCCCCTGAAAAAGAAGCATTAATATTTGGGATATATATCCTTTCCAGATGTTCTCACATGCATGTAGATAAAATAAGCTCATCAAGTACTCTCATTACAGTGTGTAATGACATCGTCCCACGTCAGTGACTACTTCCATATCGGCACTGTTTCTTTTTTTTATTTTAACTAGAGTTTTGCTCATTTATTCAAACAGTAGGCATCAGGGCAGGCTGTGGTAGAGGATGCAAAAATGGATCACATTGTTCTTGTCCTGGAAGATTTGTCAATCCAGGAACAAAGATGAGGTATCCAAAGACAATACAAGGTAGAAAGTGATAGGTGCCACAAGAGGGGTCTGTTCATTAGTTCATTATTCATTCATTCAAGGAACATTTGCTTCCTGTCCCACATCTCATCCCAAAGGGAATGAAAGATGAATCAGGCAGAGCCATTGCCCCTGGGGTAGTCACGAACTGAGGCAGGAGGCAGAGTCATGAACAAGTAACACTAATGACCTATGATAGATGCCAAACTAGCAGGGAGTTCTGGGCAAGGTGAATGTCCAACTCTGCCTGAGAATATCTGGGCAGACTTCACAGAGGAGGTGACACTTTAAGTCGATTTTAAGGAATGGATATGAATTCACCAGGAGACTGGATGAAGAAAGCATTTGAAGCTCAAGAACAGCTTATATCAAATCACAAACATGTGAGATGTTCTCCTGCTTAGGAAACATAAGAGCTTCAGTGTGGAGAGTTGGGGGGACTTGTGGAAGACCAAGCTACAACGGTGGGTTGGGGTGAATTGTGGGGAGCCTTGTATGTCATCCCCCAAAGATTTAGTTCCTTCTGTGGTCAATGAACAGCCACTGATCCATATCAGCATTCTTAATTGTGAGGCAGAATGTTTCAAGGTTTGAGTGGGTCATGGTTGATTTACCTAATCTCTACTGTTGGATATTCGCTACTACATGTAATATCAGAGTGAACACCCTTTCCATGTACCTATGAACCTTTCTTAACATTTTTTCTATTTTTTGTTTCATCTCATTGAAACCTATGCAAATTTATAGGTGCCTTAAATCTTTTCTGGAAGAAGATTGAAGATAAATACATGGATATAACTAATACGTTGAAGGCCAGGCCTGAGGCCTTGGAACAGCAGCTTCACAGGATTTCTGAGGAAGAACACAGAGATGATGAGGAGAAAGGCAGGCCCAGCTCATGCCCCGTGTAGAGTGATTTGCCCTCATCAGATCTCTTTTCTCCTGAAAGCAAGTGGCTTGCTGTGCCCGGCAAGCTGATGGACTTATCCAAATTGCCCTATTTCTTTGGGGCTGGCAGGAGTTAGGCTACAGAAACTTTAAGTTTCTGGGGTTTCCCTGGTGGTCCAGTGGTAAAGAATCCGCCTTCCAATGCAGGGGACGTGGGTTTGATCCCTGGTCGGGGAACTAAGATCCCACATGCTGCAGGGCAAATAAGCCTGCGTGCCACAACTACTGAGCCCACGTGCCACAACTACTGAACTTGCCTGCCTCAACGAGAGAGCCCGCGTGCTGCAAACTACAGAGCCCATGAGCCATGGAGCTCATGCGCCACAGCTAGAGAGAGAAGAACTCGTCCACCACAACTAAAGAGAAGCCCGCGTGCCACAATGAAGAGCCTGTGTGCTGCAATGACGGATCCTGCATGCCTCAACGAAGACCCCGTGTGCCACAACTAAGACCCGACTCAGCCAAAAAAAAAAAAAAAAAAAATATATATATATAATATATATATATAAATAAATGGTAAGCCTTTTTAAAAAAAGTTATATAAAGAAAGAAACTTTAAGTTTATCAGCTCTGACATACATTTGTTCTCTGACTCCTGAATTCCTTTTCAGACATAAGATTCTGAGATTCTCACTAACAGTGCATAGGGATGGTGGTGCCCAGAGAAGTGGACAGGGGCACGTAAGATTCATGCAGTCCTTCCTTTCCTCCCAAAACATTTGCTATGTGCCTTCTAGATGCCAGCCCTCTGTTAGGGGCTAGAAATAATTTAAACTGCTGGTCTATGGACCACAGTAGCAAAGCCCTAGAGCTGTCTCATATGGCAGTCACTACCCACATGTGGCTATTAAGCACTTGAAATGTGGCCCATCGAAACAGAGACGTGCTGTAAGTTTAAAATATGCAACAGGTGTTGAAGACTTAGTACAAACCAAAAAAAGTGAAATATCTCATTAACAATTTTTGTATTGATTGCATGTTGGAATGATAATATTTTGGATATATCAGGTTAAGTAAAAATAATTTCACCTGTTTTATGTTTTTATGTAGCTACTAGAAGAATTTAAATTATATATATTGTTCATATTATACTTCTATTGGACAGGCTGCTCTAGAGCAAGATGGTTCTCAAAATGTAGTTTTAAGTCTGCCCATACCTGACACCTTGGGGGAGGGGAGGTGTTTGTTAAAAATGCAGTTTCCTGGGCCCTACCCAGAAGTCTGTGAAGCTTTGTTTTTGTGCTAGAGACTGACAAGCAAGTTTTGGAGTGGTGGGGAATGGTGAGGCTATATGAAAAGGATTCTGTGGGACCTGAAGGGAGAGGTCAGGGAAGACTTCCTGTAGGAGGTGAAGCTAGCTCTGTCTTGGCGGAGTGATGGTCACGTTCCCTGTACCTTCCCTGCCAAGAGCAGTCTGAACCTCTCTGTGGGTTCACGTGCCTCCTGGAAGGCAAGGGTCATCTGATAGCCCTGTGGATTTGAGTTTTTCCTCAAAAGGCCTTTTGAGGATGATTTGCAGCCGGGCTCTCTCC